ACTGTATGGAGTCAAAGAAAGACTGGACACAAGTGTAGATGAATACTGTATGGAGTCAAAGAAAGACTGGACACAAGTGTAGATGAATACTGTATGGAGTCAAAGAAAGACTGGACATAAGTGTAGATGAATACTGTATGGAGTCAAAGAAAGACTGGACATAAGTGTAGATGAATACTGTATGGAGTCAAAGAAAGACTGGACACAAGTGTAGATGAGCACTGTATGGAGTCAAAGAAAGACTGGACACAAGTGTAGATGAACACTGTATGGAGTCAAAGAAAGACTGGACACAAGTGTAGATGAATACTGTATGGAGTCAAAGAAAGACTGGACACAAGTGTAGATGAATACTGTATGGAGTCAAAGAAAGACTGGACACAAGTGTAGATGAATACTGTATGGAGTCAAAGAAAGACTGGACATAAGTGTAGATGAATACTGTATGGAGTCAAAGAAAGACTGGACACAAGTGTAGATGAATACTGTATGGAGTCAAAGAAAGACTGGACACAAGTGTAGATGAACACTGTATGGAGTCAAAGAAAGACTGGACATAAGTGTAGATGAATACTGTATGGAGTCAAAGAAAGACTGGACATAAGTGTAGATGAGCACTGTATGGAGTCAAAGAAAGACTGGACATAAGTGTAGATGAATACTGTATGGAGTCAAAGAAAGACTGGACATAAGTGTAGATGAATACTGTATGGAGTCAAAGAAAGACTGGACATAAGTGTAGATGAATACTCATACCTCAGTTTCTTTCTGACGACACAAGTGTAGATGAGCACTGTATGGAGTCAAAGAAAGACTGGACACAAGTGTAGATGAGCACTGTATGGAGTCAAAGAAAGACTGGACACAAGTGTAGATGAGCACTGTATGGAGGAGTCAAAGAAAGACTGGACACAAGTGTAGATGAGCACTGTATGGAGGAGTCAAAGAAAGACTGGACACAAGTGTAGATGAGCACTGTATGGAGTCAAAGAAAGACTGGACACAAGTGTAGATGAGCACTGTATGGAGTCAAAGAAAGACTGGACACAAGTGTAGATGAGCACTGTATGGAGTCAAAGAAAGACTGGACACAAGTGTAGATGAGCACTGTATGGAGTCAAAGAAAGACTGGACACAAGTGTAGATGAATACTGTATGGAGTCAAAGAAAGACTGGACACAAGTGTAGATGAGCACTGTATGGAGTCAAAGAAAGACTGGACACAAGTGTAGATGAGCACTGTATGGAGTCAAAGAAAGACTGGACACAAGTGTAGATGAGCACTGTATGGAGTCAAAGAAAGACTGGACACAAGTGTAGATGAGCACTGTATGGAGTCAAAGAAAGACTGGACACAAGTGTAGATGAGCACTGTATGGAGTCAAAGAAAGACTGGACACAAGTGTAGATGAGCACTGTATGGAGTCAAAGAAAGACTGGACACAAGTGTAGATGAGCACTGTATGGAGTCAAAGAAAGACTGGACACAAGTGTAGATGAGCACTGTATGGAGTCAAAGAAAGACTGGACACAAGTGTAGATGAGCACTGTATGGAGTCAAAGAAAGACTGGACACAAGTGTAGATGAGCACTGTATGGAGTCAAAGAAAGACTGGACACAAGTGTAGATGAGCACTGTATGGAGTCAAAGAAAGACTGGACACAAGTGTAGATGAGCACTGTATGGAGTCAAAGAAAGACTGGACACAAGTGTAGATGAGCACTGTATGGAGTCAAAGAAAGACTGGACACAAGTGTAGATGAGCACTGTATGGAGTCAAAGAAAGACTGGACACAAGTGTAGATGAGCACTGTATGGAGTCAAAGAAAGACTGGACACAAGTGTAGATGAGCACTGTATGGAGTCAAAGAAAGACTGGACACAAGTGTAGATGAGCACTGTATGGAGTCAAAGAAAGACTGGACACAAGTGTAGATGAGCACTGTATGGAGTCAAAGAAAGACTGGACACAAGTGTAGATGAGCACTGTATGGAGTCAAAGAAAGACTGGACACAAGTGTAGATGAGCACTGTATGGAGTCAAAGAATTTAAAATAAATTTAGAGGAAAATCATTTTAAAAATAAAATTCTGTTTATAAATCATGTTTAAAACGAATTCGAAAATCCGGATAAGTCGATAGATCAAATCAGGACGCGGTCAAAACACAGTCCGGGTTAGCGGCGTCTGCTCTTTACTAAGCGGGTCATAGTTTGCTGACCCCTGCCTGAGAGAGACGAGTCGGGTCACTTCTTCGTTGAACACATTTCCCTGAACATAGAAGATGGTGTGGTGTTGTCTTTTTTTAATCTTCATTTGTTTAAATATTAAGAAACTGTATAGTTAAGTTAGCTATATAGTTTAGGAAGTTACATAGTTTTGGTAGCTTTATTCTCAATGTCTTTACTCTATGAAAAAATTACGATTCATTCTGTAGACGTCAGCAGTTAATGACACCGCTTTTAACTGCTCAAAACCAGACCGTGGCCACAAGCCCTGGCCACCGACCTTCGCCACACACTCCCTGGCTACCGATTATTTCAAAGAACCTTGGTCATAGCCTCTGATACTGACCACTAGCCCTGGTCCCGACCCTGGCCACCGACGTTGACCACAGTCCCTGGGAAATAATCATTTCAAACGACCTTGACCACCGACCTTGACCCAAAGCTTGGCCACAGACTCAGGCGACCGACCTCTGCAAACGACCATGGTCCTTGAATTTGTTCACATACTCTGGCTATCGACTGTGTTCAACACCCTGGACACCAACTTAAGAGACAGCGTCTGACAACCGACTTTAGTCACTAGCCCAGGATCCGACCCTGTCACCATCCTGGCCACCGATCCAGGTCACGTCCTTGGCCACAGGTCCTGGCCAACGATTTTACGACCCAAAGAAAATCAAACCGATCCCATCTAGATTTAAAACAGTCGTAAACAGCGCGTGATCAGCTTTCGGTTTAGTGGTCGCCTCAAGGCTCGTCTGAACTTTTGTTGGGACTTGTCCTCAGCCCACCATGCAGTCTAGCAGTCTCGGGGTGTGTAGATCAACAGGATTTTTAACCATTAATTCTGAAATCCGTCATCTCCTGAACAGGGAGACCAATCCGAATTTAAAATGATTCATCTCTCCTTGTCATTTCAAAACGGGTTGTCAACCCTTCTTTCGAATCGTACCCCCCTCCCACCAACCCCATCACACCAACACCCGCACCACCACGACCCTACCATCCCCCACACCACCACACCACCCCCCTTCAACACCACCCCCTTCAACACCACCCCCTTCAACACCACCACCACCGCCACACCACCAACACCCGCACCCCACACCACCACCATCACACCACCCCCACAATCGCCACCCCACCCCCACCATCGCTACCATCACCACCACCCCACCACCACCACATCACCACAACACCACCACCACAACACCACCACCTAGTCACCACACGAATGAACCACACATAGTGTTTACACATTGAGACATTCGCCATCAGTGGGATAAGATCTCGACCTATTATTTGCCGATGATATTACAGGTAACTCATCACTATATATATATATATATATATATATATATATATATATATATATATATATATATTAAAATCAGTTAAAACTTTAGTTTGACATGTGAGTGATGTCTATAGTTTCATTGCTATTAAAAAAACGAAAATGGTTTAATACAATGTATATGAGCCAAAGTTAATAACTTATATTAATTTTTTTTAACTAATTTTTTTATAGAGTAAATGGGATAAGCGTAAGGGGGTCATAGTAGTTTACCCAGTTTAATGTTTGAGGGCAATACATGTTCAACAGTATTCACCACCAGAACAATTTGCAAGCTGAGGTCGTATATCTCGGTTTTTTTTTTAAATTGATATATCAGCCCCCCCCCTCCCTATACACACTATTGTTTGTTATTTGGTGTTTTTATTTGTGGGTCTCTGCCATGGTTACGTGTTTCTACGTCATATTTAGTTTACCTCATAGTTAGTTTTACGTTATAGTTAAATTTACGTCATAGTTTTATTTTGCAACATAGTTAATTTTACGTCATAGTTAGTTTAAAGTCATAATTATTTTACGTCATAATTATTTTTACGTCAAAGTTAGTTTTACGTCATAATTAGTTGCACTTTATACTTAGTTGTTCGTCATATTTAGTTTTACGTCATATTTAATGTTATACGCCTCCTACAAACTGTTCTAAAACAACAAGTAACACCTAAGCAAAACATATTTAACACCTAAGTAACACCTAAGTAACACCTAAGTAACACCTAAGTAACACCTAAGTAACACCTAAGTAACACCTAAGCAAAACTATTTAACACCTAAGTAACACCTAAGTAACACCTAAGTAACACCTAAGTAACTCCTAAGTAACACATAGTAAAACATAAGTAACACTTAAGTAACACCTAAGTAACACCTAAGTGACACCTAAGTGACACCTAAGTAACACATAAGTAACACCTAAGTAACACCTAAGTAACACATAAGTAACACATAAGTAGCACATAAGTGACACCTAAATAACACCTAAGTTAAACCTCAGTAACACCTAATTAACACATAAGTAACACCTAAGTGACACCTAAGTAACACCTAAGTTAAACCTGAGTAACACCTAATTAACACATAGTAACAG